CGTCAGTCAACATCAATATACATTTAAAAATTAATAAATAAGAATTTATCAAAAATGAAAGATATGAACATTAAACTGTTCAACAACAAAAACGAATGATGTGGTTTTATTTTCTGTTATAAAAATAAAAATACTATAAATCAATCAAACTTTTAGAAGTATTAAGAATATTCATTTTTTGTACATATTATTTTTTGTTTGAAAAATAACCAATAGTTGCGAGCATCCGGCTTTTTCTAGCATCCCCTTATTTCCCCCTACTGTAATATAAATTTACTCCGAAGAATTGAAATGATAATGAAATTCTGGAGACATCAGAGATGTCAAAAATTTGTGAAAATTCTGTATCCGCGTGCGGCTCTCTAAGCCTTGGAATCTAAAAGATCCGTCCCCCTCGCGATTTTATTTGAAAAAGTTGAAGAAAATGGAGGGTGCCCTAAATCTACATAATTTATATACTACTCCCACTAAAAGCAAAAGTTTTGACCGACTTTGAAAGTGTCAAAGCTTAATCAATCAAAACGTTATACAGAAATGTTTTTCCCGATTCACCTGGTCCATCAACAAAAAAAAACATTTACATTAATTGGATTCTCCATTTAGTGTACGCATTATAGTATCATAAGCCGTTCTTTGTTGTTCATTTAATTCGTTATTTCGAGAATCTACTTTTTCTTCAAAGGGCACATCATCCACATTGACAATAGTATCCGCATTTTGGTCAATTATCGAGCTTAAAGTGAAGCCGAAATTCAAAAGTGATTTTTCACTTTCTCTAAGCATGTTCTCAATTTCTATTAAAGCTGATATATCGGCTTCTTTTTGACTTCTCCCCTCTTGTAGAAAATTTTGAGCCATTTGAATGTGATATTTATCCCATACAGACAAAGCATCAAATGTATTATTAATAGTACATACAAACACAAAAAGTTCTCGTAATTGATGGGGCATTTTCATTTTTATTGATTCTGAAAATGTTTTTGTCCTACTCATCTTTACTGTCGATTAATCCTTTACCTTCGCATGTATCTTCTTTCAATGTGTTGTTTAATTTCATTGTTTTCAAACATTTTCAAAGAAGCAGCATCACTCCCTATATAAATATATTTATATATATATTTAATTCCTTGAACACCACTGCAGTATTTCACATTTATATGAGCATTAAACCTTTTCAATAAATATGGATTATATGGCACTACCATACTATTGTCAACTTTCTTCCCTCGAACAATAACTGGCGCACATTGACGTCTTTGATACTTAAAAAATCCATTTGTCAATATTGTTTCATTGCAAAATTCCTTTGGAAAATGCTTAGAAACCCTTTTGACATGCAAGGGGCTTTTGGGTTATCTGTTCCACATGGTCCATGTACCATAACCGTTTTTACCAACTCTTGCGTTTCTTGGTTTTGACTGAATTCGGCATTGACGCTCTCTGGATCTTTAAGTTTATAGTCATTAGCAAGAACAACTAATATATGTGAATGTGGAAGACCTCTTTTTTGAAATTCAATAACATACACCCACGCAATTAAAGTTCCAAAAATCCCATCATCTGTAATATGCTTTAACAGGTAATTCATTTTCAAATTAAATACCCTGGATACTATATCAGGACGATCAATTGCTTCTTCACCGGGTTTTAAATTTTCAACAATTTCTTGCCACTTGGGATTTGCGGTAAATTTAATGAAAAGATAAGGAAGTCCAAAGTGTGAAAAAAATAGACATCGCATCAGCACATTTTTGGTGCATATTTCTTGGAGAATTTGGAAAAGTTGAAGGAAGAATTACCCGTTTGCCTTTGGCCTCTTTGTTGTTATTGCCATCATTCATTTGGTCTTGTAATTCACAATACAATTCACTCTTCAACTTTGGTTGGTGAGATTTTATATAATTCAAGTTGTTGGTTTCAATTCTTAAAAATGCATCAACGATAAATTGTTGTGTTAATCTGTACATATGCAGTATTTCACTTCCATCATCTATCACTGAAAACAATGAAGAGTAGTATTGCAACATTGTTACCTTATTACTTATTGTTGTTTCATTCGAATTATTATTCTTTTCATCTTTCTTCCAGCCATCTTGTCTTTGTGGAAACAACAAAACATGACACAGCGGTTTAAAAAAATAAAATATTGATATTTCTCAATTCTTCTGGATGCTCAGAATTAGCTTTTTTATAAACAATAATATTGCGATGGAGTGGTATTTCGCTTTCATTTGTATCACTTGTGAATATAGCTTCAATTTCTGAAGCTGTCGGTGCATTATAACGATGACTATATTTTTCTTCGGTACTGTAAAAAACCAAACGAATGTTTTCATTTGTTGGATTAGCTTCAATGACATGTCGCATGTTAATTTGATTTGTGGCAATCACATTGTTTTTTCTTATGTATTCATTAATTTGTTTTATAATAGTTTCATTGCATGTTTTTTGTATACTTACTATTTTTTCTGGAAACATTGGCTTCATCTGCATCAAAAAAATACAACTGCTCAAATGTGGGATTCCCGTTGGTAGGAAGTGCATTAGAAATATTATGATAAAAATTACCTTGAACAATAAAAATACTCGTGTGCCCTAATATTTGGAATATTTGCACCAAATGAAGCGAAAGAGAGTGAAGAATTGATAACGCGAATGTTTTCCTTGAAATTTTCATGTAAAAATGTTTGTTTACATCGAGGAGATCTTTTATTATTTGTGGGTAGTAAAGATCAGTCCTTGGTTTAATTTTTCTGTAATGACAACAATTGTAATAAAAATTTATATGAAGTTTATTTCTTCTTTCAACATTTAAAATGCAGTGCTTTACAGAAAACACATTTGGTTGTGATTTTTCCCAAATATAATACGGTTGTAATATTTATTGTATTTTTAACAGCTAAAAGACATGGTGATCTTTTTGTTTTTGTATAACATTGTTGCTTTATTTTATTTGTGTTTTTTTATATCATAGAAGTATTTTTTCTTTGTCTCATATCTTCTTTTCTTTTTTGAGTTTCTTTATCTGTCTCCAACATCACACTAACAACTTGTCGTTGTCTAAATATCTAATGTTTGATATTTTTATTGTTTCTTTATTTATTAAATTGTAATTTACTCTTTCCCATATACGTTTTTTGATGTTTTCCATTTCTTATTTATTTAATAAATTGCACTTTTCTTTCAATTCCAACTTGTGAAATGTATTAATTAAATAAAAAAAGTGTTTTTGTATGGATTGCTTTTTTCTTTCAATAATATCAAATACTGATGTCTTTAAATTTGTATTTAAATTTTCTAGCTTTTTGATATAATTACATGGACCAAAGCGTTTTACAAAATATACACAATCCTTTAAAGTGATTTGAGAAAAGTAAAAGTCTTTGTAATAATCAGATGCCATTACTTGTAATTGTTTTTATCAAATATCAGTTTTGTTTTATAAAACATAAAATAAAGTTTAAATAATGTTTAAAATATGTGGAACTAAACTCTGATAAAACGACAGTTAGTCCAATTGTTAACTATCGTTTCTTAAACAGTATCACAATTTACCATTATATTTAGTATAATTAACCATAAATATAGAACACGCTAAATAGTATAAAACCAATATAAATAGTAATTGTAAATAAATAAATAAATATACCGATTTTGCAATTATATTAGGGGATATAATTTAATTATGAAAAAATTTAAGTAAGTCAAAATGTTATTTATTTTCGTTTTTTCATCACAATCCAGAAATAAATAATTATAATTAATCGCAAATTTGCCCAAATGGTCAAATTTTTGATTGAGTGAATAATTGTTAGGGATGAAATAAAATCCATTTTACCTGTTTACTAAAAAAGAAAAAAATGGTAAAATATTTCACCAATTTACGATCTTAAAGATCCCTATATTTTAAAAAACATTTTATCTAAAATCAAAAAGTAATAACATTTTGCATTTTCATCAATTGTAATTTAATAATAAAGTTTTTTTATTTTTGCCAACATTCAACAAGTTTTATTTTCAGTGTATTTTTATTTCCATTAACTTTTTACATAAAAGACTTAATTGCCCTTAATTATTGTAATATATAATTAATAAAAAATTAATAAACAAATTTATATTTTGATATCATATATAAATTATAATAATAGTATAAAAATAATAAAGTAAATATTGGTATGGTTTCAATTAAATCAATGTCGAACAGGTTTACCTTGGGTTTGTGTAAACCGAGTGATACGGAACATTATAAAGAAGGCTCAGGAAGACACACGCAAACAATCTGTTTGTGCACCCGTTTTATCCACGTTTTTACTTCCCCAGTCGCGGATCACCCGCTTGCGGGAAAACGACATCTGCGTCTACCCAGTACTGACAAAAAATTGGTTTCCACGGGCGTACAAACAGTAGCTGAGAAGAGGTATAACACATAATTTTGATTTGAATTTAGGTTAAATCAGCCGGTTTCAACACAAAATCATAAAGATATTATTATTTATATAATAATTATAATATTAATTTAAAAACAAAAAAAAATGTAAAAAAAGATATATAGATCACGATGATGACAAAAATTTGTCGAGAAACGAGGGAGTGCTTGTCAATATTGATAGATTCGTATTTTTTTCATATTACAACAACATGAAATAAGAACTGAAATTCAAAAATGTTGTTTAACCACTGTCGGAACCTTTCGAATTGTCTTGAATTGTCGATAAACATTAAAAACATGGATAGAATTACAGTCGTGTATTGTAAAGAGAAAAATGATAGTTTGTGTTTTATCGGAATAAAAATATTGACGACGGGAAAAGTGCTAATAATTTGGTTTAATTCCAAAAATTTCAATCAATCAATCTTTTCGTTATAATTTTTGTTCAAATCTTGAGTATTATGTCTCTGTTGTTATAATATTTTTAAATAAGATATTGTGTGTCAAAAATTCCTCAGAAAAAATAAAAAGGGTTTACAATAATTTTTTTTAAGAAAAAGCAAAATTGACATTTTTTCTATGCTCTTTAAAAAAGGGGGAAACAGCGAACGTGTTTATTATTATTGCAATTGATGTTAAAAAATGAATAAAAAACAAAAAAGAACAAAAAATCCAACAATAACATATATCATTAAATTACATTTTAATTATTTCAAAAAAAAACAATTCAAATGTTACTTTTGTTGTTTTTCAATAAACGTAAACACGTTTGATCAGAAAATATTATTATTTCATCCTAGGCTGATACGTTAATATAAGTGAAAACTAAATAAAAAAGTATATTTCAGATTTGACAACCGAATTAATATTATAATTCGATACACATTATAAAAACGAGTGGCACTTTTTGTTTAAATTTATTGATTATAATTTACTACCATGTATCATTTTTTTTAAAAAAATAACGACTATTTTTATCAATCAATGTAGTGAAAAGAACCGTAGATTGTATGTAAGTTATGTTATATTTTTTGTTTTTGTACTTATTTCAAATAAACTTTATTTTCATATAATAAAAAAAATATTATCAAAATAAAAATATACCTTTTATGTCATATTTTTTAAATAATTATTGCAAAAAGATGTTACTTGAAATAATAAGTTACAAATTTAAGAGGTTGTTAAATTTAAGAATATGTTTGATAAACAAAAACGTAACAATATAATCATCATTATCATATTTTGATAATTAAAAATAAAACAATTTTAATTTATAATTATTTTGTTATATTTGTTTTATTTTCAAATATAATGTCTCAAATTATAATAAGTATTTTAAGAGCATTTTTCACAACAAAATAAACAAATGGTTACAAATTATTGTTAACACTTTCACAACCCAAAACTTTTTTTAAGAAGAAAAATAAGTAAAAAGGAAATTGTTTAAATCATTTTTTATTATTTTTATTCCAAAACCCCTTTCTAACCTAAACCGGCCAATAGTCAGTTTTATTTTACTTAAAATAATTAACAAATGAGAACTCATTTACTTAATATTGATCAAAAATAATCTTTTTGGATGAAATTTCATATCACTTTATTGTGTTTCAACATTTAATATAAAAAACAACATCATCAATCCACTTTATGACAAACAATGTCAAATAGTCACATTAACAAATATGACGACAATATAAACACCAATATCCTTATAATCAAATAACAATATTCTCTTTATATAAAAAACAACCAAATATATCAAACCATCATTAGACCCCATTTTTCTTCTTAATGCTTTGCTCTTGTTTAACACAAATAAACTCATTCATGTTTATTTGTGTGACTATAAAATATACAATTCAAATTTAAGTTGATAAAAAAATAAATAAAAAATTTCAAAAATTTGTTTTGTGTATGAAGGCAAAAAAAGGGTTTAGGTAAAAGAATAAAATAAAAACTTATTATTATTACGTTTCTGTTTTGAACGTGTTAAAGTTAAT